AGATAGAAATGGACCTGCCTTGATGCAACATCGGTGGTTCCCATTTCTCAAGTGCTTCGTCCTCAATAGGATCTTCAGAAGCTTCCCCCACCACTGTCTTGCCAGTCTCTCTCCTCCTCTTTTTTGCCCTCGCTGCAACCGAAGCGGAGGGCTCGGCAGTAGCAGCATGAGTCCCAGAAGCTCCCACCTCTAATTTTACATCCATGAGGCTCTTCGCCTCGGCCTTCAACAAAGAGGTCTCCAAAGTATTAGAGGTACCAAAAGCCTCAGCCTCTAAATCCACTAGTACTCTCCTCTTCGATACGGACCCACCCCTTGCGAAACTGGGGGCAGGAGAGGGCGTCCTTTCAGGCAATGCACCATGGCTTCGACGGCGATTCGTAACCAAAGGAGTGAGGGATGTGTCAGTCTCAATATCAAAATCTAGAAGGGATGCAGCGAGCCTCGCTTTCTTCAAAATGACAGAGCGGTAAGTCGCTTGGTAATCCAACAACTCTGGCGCGGACCTCTTCTTGTACCTCAGAACGGCTTTGATGGCCTCAGTGTTCTCCCGATTCGGCCTTCGCTGAAAACGAGAGGCCTCTGCAAAAAAGAAGTACCACATTAAAACAACATCCAAAACAAAGGTAAGAAATACAAAAGACACTGGAGGAAGGATTCGAACCTGGGTAGCCATCCTTCAGAGGCATCCGTTCGGACTGGAACTCGGTCCCGGCAGGGAACTCCCAGTTGCCACCAACTTCCAGAAAATCATCATTGTGCTTGTCTGAATCAGGCAAACCAGTCACCAGATGACAGTCGATCGAACGAACACGCAGGTAGTACATGCTATGATCCTTGTTATGAGAAAGAGTGTAGCAGCCCAAAATGTCCCAAATATCGAGATTCAAGCCCAACTGTTTGTTGAGAGCGAACATACCACAGACGACACGAAACAGGTTAAAAGATACTTGCATTGGGGTGAGTTGAACCTGGTGCAAAAACCGGCACACCAAAGGGTTGAGAGGAAAATGAACCCTTCCCTCGACGATGGATGCAACCGAAAAAGCGGTAGTGTTTCTAATGCCCATACGCTTGGCATCGACCATTACCAACGAAAGGGTCATATCATCGGGGATATTGTAATCACGACGAAACATGGCCATGGCCTGAGGAGTATCAACTAATGAGCGAAACTTTCCCATCAAACCGAACCTAGTGGTACAGAGATAGAACTCAGATACCAAGATGGGGAACACAACGGCACAAGGGCCAAACAAGATGATTGAAACAGAAAAGGACAAGAGAAGAAGGATCACAAGAGAACTTACAAAGATCAGAGCAGCGGTGGCGAACGAGCGATGCTGAAGCAAGACCGGTAGTGGAAAATTTGAGCAGAGCACCAACAAGACTAGTTCAGAGGAACGGGAAGGGTTCTTCTTTTTCTTTGAGACTCTCTAAAAGAATGAAAAAATAGATAAAAGGATTTGGATTGACAGCCATAGCATTTATTGCACCAGCCGACATAAAGGTACACGAAGCACGACCTTCGGTATGGAATCAACGCACTATCTCTGCACACCTATCCCACGTCGCCACGAAAGGACGCATGCAGGGGTTGTGCGTTAGGATTGAACCGTCACGAAGGCTGAACTGGGACAGAACTGAAGCGACGCGACGCTTGGAGTACAGAATCGTAGCTCCCCCTAAGGGGAACCTTAGCGCGAGCTAGGGGGCAAATGAAGGGGGTAAATAAGAAATGGGTTGGACCCAAGCCTTGGGCCAGTCCAATCACCCAAGCCCAAATCCAAATGGGTCAGATGAGCATGTGGGCAATCCAACTAAGCCCAACTTCATGATCAACAGTCGACCCAAGTCCTCAAGCACTTGGGCCCAACCTGCAGTGAAAAGGCTAGTCCAGCCGCGATGCTGGGCTGGGCCGAGCTACAAGACCTAATCTATGTGCCGAACTAAAGTGGGCCGAGCCCATACAAAGATATCCAAATAGACCAGTCCATTTCTGTAAACGATCTTGTAAAAGGCCGAGCTGAGGCACAACAGTATCGAGCTAAAGCACAACGGTACCGAGCTGAGGAAACCCCTTTGAGAAACGTGGAAGCTATGAATGCACGCACATAGAGGATGCCACCTCAGCTAATCCCCTGCACCTAGAATCACAAAAGCTGTTAAACCAGAAGAATGTGGTTTGTTATCAGCATGACTACAATGAGTATATGCATTCAATGACAACTACCAGGTGGTCCCCCACCTTGGGCAATGCTAAAAGGAAACTTGGCAGCACCTGAGCTCCATAAAACCATCTAGAGCAATAGGCAAGAAACCCTATATATACTACATGAACTTCACATTGAAGGTAACTGAACGGATTCAAACTGAACCTCTCTTACTTACAAACTCAACTCTCTACACCTCTTCTCCGATCACTGATTCCCACACCGGAGGGGTTATCCGGCCAACCCCGGCCGGGCAGCTCTTACGATGCTTCTTGTGGAAGGAACCTCAATCCTTGGATAGTCCAACCGAATGCGGAGCCCCGATCCACTTTCATCTAGTGCGGAATCCGGTACGCACAGATAATCATGTTGTCCCGTTTGGTATAGCTGTTAAAAAAGAATATAAATTTTAGTTTAATAAATTATAGATTATCACTTTAATCAAAAGTTGTTAATCTATTTGGTGTAATTGTTAGATTATAGATTTGAGTTGCTGAGTAGTGTTTGTTAAATAAGCTGTGAAGTAACTTTTTTAATTAACTTTTATTTTTTATTATTCACTACTTGTTTATATTTCTCATAAAAAATAATAATAATAATCTATAGTCCATTTGAGTCTTTTTCTATTTTTTAAAAAATCTAAAAGTATAACTGTAAATTAACATGTCTACAATAGAAGCTGATAATTAGAAGCAAGGGGTAAGTAGCTTCTCACAATTAGCTTTTTTGAGTTAAAATAAATTGTTTGAATCAGAAGTTTTTTGAAATAAGGTTTACCAAACAATCTAAAATAGCTTTTTCAAAGCTAGAAATTATAAGTTGGCTCAAAAAATCCAAATGAACATTCCCATTGAGAACAACTTCGGCACTGTTGGACCATGGGAGGCCGGACTATGGTCTCATTTCAATAATCAAAATCGTTTCAATATGTAAAATTCGTCAAGTACATTATATTTATAAAAGATTATGTTGATAAGATATTGATATCTACTTGATCAGATGGCATTTGTTTCAACAGCAATTATGATTCTAAAAGTAAATCGCAAACACAAATATAATCTGATCAAGTGGCTATTGATGTTTGATTAACATGATTTTTTTGTAAGGATGATGTACTCAACAAGATCTACACATTAAATAGTTTGAATCATCAAGCTAGACTCAAAGTCGAGTCCATTGAGGCCTACCAACATCGTCCAGTCCGCTTTTAGATTGAAGAGAAGTTGTTCCCATATTCCGAAATGAGACTAGACGAAGAAATAAAACACATGAAAGTGTATAAAAATGTATTGCATGACTGACATTTATTTTGAATGTGACCCACACTATACTCAAAATGAATTTGGATTATAGAGTATACGTTCAGTGTATTTTTTTGTATTTTATTTATGTGCATTTAGCATTATTGAATTATATTTTGATCATAAAAAAATTTCAATAACATATCATTCATCATCTTTTTATATCACATTTAATTTATTATCTCATGTGTTAACATATCATTAGTGTAATAAATCTCACTAATTATGTCTATCTTCACTTATGGGTTACTCAATTTTTTTTTTTATTTTATGTGCCAATATTATATTAATTTAATGGGTCAACAGCTCATATATGTTACAAATATGGTGATAATAAGTAAGATAATAAATAAATTTTAATACATAATATTATTATTATAAGTTTTGATATGGGCATTGACACCAACAAACAAAATATATATAAAACAAATAATAAAAAAAAAACAAACAAACAAACAAAACAAAAACAAAAACAAAAAAGATGGGTTTCATAATTTTTGTACATCCCATTTCTTCTTTGTATCTTGTGTTCGATTCTATACACCATTTTGGTGCATGTAGTTGTTTTTTTTTTCATGCTAGTAATATCAAAAACAAAGCTGCAACAGACCTCGAATGGCATTGGCGCGAATGAAGTCGTTTGTCCATTCATCACGCACAACAATACCCGTGTGGATTTCACGCTCCTACAAAACAATATTATGACTTAGAAACAAACGATATTATAACCTAGCAGCCCTACTTCTCGGGAGATAGAAAGACCATGACCTAGGTGGCGATGATGATGACAACCTAGGTGGCCACCGATGACGAAGAAGACCACCGGTGACCATTGACCACCGTCTACCACTCTCCAATTCCTCCAATTTCACTGAAAATTTTGGCTCCACCCACCAACAACGAACTAATTCGTGGGTCACTGGTATTGCTTCAAACATTGACATTTGTTTTACATTGGTTGAAATCTGGTTGGTCTATGATTTTGCTCATATTTTCTTTACATTGGTTGTAATCTTCTTGGTCCATAACATGATTTTGGTGTTTTTGTATTGATACATTGTATGTGTTTGTTGAAAGTCCACATGGAAAGAGATTGAACATTCATTGAACAAAATCCATTTTGTAGAAAATGAAGCTGTTTGAACTGTCTTTGTAGATAGCTCACAGCTTACTTATTTTCTTCTTGTAGAAAATGAAGCTGTGATTCATTTTTTTCTTGTTTTTTGGTGGAATGTGATATGCCTATAACCTGAATTTTGTATGTGATAATTTTTGAATGTCATAAAGTATATAGCTCCCAGCTTGCTTTTTTCTCGATAGCTCCCAGCTTGCTTTTTCTCGATATCGTCCTTTATCTTGATTGTCACATATTTCACAAAATTCTCAATAGTGTCCCATCAGAATTCTATTTCACATGTTTTTGATCAGTTCCTGTTTCAAATGTTTTGAATTGTCAACCTAGAAGCTTCATTTTAGCAACAGAATGATGGAAGGTTCAAACAATCCTAGTCATGAAGTTGAAGAACCCGAGAGTGGTGAAGTTAAAGAACCAAAGCAGGGGATGTGTTTTACTTCAAAGCAAGAAGTGTATGCATTTTATGCAAAATATGCGAAGCACTTTGGATTTGCTATAGCTTATGGAACACAAAATTTTGGTAATGATGGGCAACTAAAATACTTTGGAATTGAATGTACTCGGGTGAGGAGGAGAAGAAAAAGATCAGAAGTGAACCCACTAGAACCATCTTTGTCATCTAAAAATGATTGTAAAGCAAAAGTAAGAGGGAGTCTACAAAAGGATAGAACATTTAAGTTGACAACCGTTGTGTTGGAGCATACTCACGACTTGGTTCCTAGTGACTCACGGCATTTTGCAATGAATAAGAGAATTCTAACTCCTGTGAAAAGAAGATTAGAAATAAATGATGAGGCAGGGATAAGAGTGGCTAGGAATTTTCATTCTATGGTTGTTGAAGCGGGGGGATTTGAGGCATTAACATTTAACGAACGAGATGCAAGGAATCATATTGAGAAGGCTAGAAGATTGAGGCCTGGAGTAGAAGATGCCAAATCAGTTGCGTTTTATTTTCATAAGATGCAACAACAAAATTCGAACTTCTAGTTGTGTTTTATTTTCATAAGATGCAAGAACAAAATTCGAACTTCTACTCTGAAATGGACTTTGATGGAGAAGGAGGCTTGCGAAACTTATTTTGGGCAGATGCAAGGAGTAGGGCAGCTTATAAAGCATTTGGGAATGTTATCACATTTGACACAACCTATCTAAAAAACAAATATGACATGTCGTTTGCTCCGTTTGTAGGAGTTAATCACCATGGGTAGTTAATTTTGTTTGGTTGCGGGCTATTATGTAAAGAGAATACTGAGACATTTGTATGGCTATTTAGAGCTTGGTTAAGTTGCATGTCAGACACTCCTCTGAATGCTATAATAACTGACCAGTGCAAAGCTATGTAAAATGCCATACAAATTGTCTTCCCATAGGCTCAACATCGTTGGTGTTTATGGCATATAAATTAAATTACAAGATATACAATTCGTGATCATAATAAATAGTCCACATGTTAGATAAGATGATATGGAACCATGCTTGAGGATAGTAATTAATCTTCCTCCTTAGCTTGCAAAAGCAAACCCTTAAAAGTCAAACTAGTAACACTAATTTTAATAGTGGATTAATCTTCACTGTTTAGTTTTTAATATGCAAAAATGTGATAATAGAATGACAATTCAAAATATCATATTTAACTGTGTCTACTAGACTAATGGAATATAATGATTTTTTTTTTATATATATATAAATAAAAGTCAAACTAGTAACACTAATTTAAATATCATTAGATCATGATAATGTATATAAGTGCCCATATAATAAATTTTACTTTCATCCAAAATGTAAAAATAAAAATAATAACTAGTTATCTCCATCCATCCAAAATGCAAAAAATAATAATAATAACTAGTTATTTTTTCTTTTAAAAAAAAAAAGATGCGGGTTGCGGGCGGGTCGAGTTCGACCCGAACCCGATCTTTTGCGAATTTCTTGACCCGCACTCGCCCGCCTACCTACATCGAAACCGCCCAAAGAACTGCGGGTAGGGTAGGGTCGGGCGGTTTGTGCGGGCGGGTGGGTTTGTTGCCCAGCCCTAAATATGACATGTCATTTGCTCCGTTTGTCGGAGTTAATCACCATGGACAGTTAATTTTGTTTGGTTGCGGGCTATTATGTAAAGAGAATACTGAGACATTTGTATGGCTATTTAGAGCTTGGTTAAGTTGCATATCAGACACTCCTCCGAATGCTATAATAACTGACCAGTGCAAAGCTATGTAAAATGCCATACAAATTGTCTTCCCATAGGCTCAACATCGTTGGTGTTTATGGCATATAATGAAGAAAATTTTAGAAAAATTGAAAGCCTATTCGCAATATGAATCCATAAAGTTTGTTTTGCAAAAGGCAGTTTATAAGTCTTTCACAAAAAATGAATTTGATGAAGAATGGCAAGCAATGATTGCAAAGTTCAGTCTACATGATAACGATTGGTTGGGGGTATTATATGATGAGCGACATAGTGTAGACACCCCATTTTTGACCGACCTTAAGACTCAGACGTCGCCAGTTGAGCACTTGGTGATATTGCATGTTGTGCTCGTTCAGAAGTTTCTTGAAAAGTACAAAAGTATGTCAAATTCTATTTTGTTTGTTTGCGGACTGTTTATGGCATAAATTTTGCGTTTGAGTATGGCAATGCCTTGAAAAGTAAGGTGGAGAAAGAGGCCAAAGCAGATTTTAAATCTCGAAACAAATTGTATGATTGCCTAACGATGTATGCTTTTGAGAAGTAATTTCGTGCAGCCTACACAAATGCAAAATTTAAAGAGGTTCAAGCAGAAATGAAATGATTATTGTATTGTCATGTGACTTTTGTGGAAGAGAAAGGATCAATTTGTACTTATCATGTGAAAGAAGCTATTCCAATTGGTGAGCAAATGAAGAAAGTGGAATTTGTGGTGTACTGTAATTCCATTGAATGTGGCATCCAATGTATGTGTCGGTGGTTTGAGTTTAGGGGCATTATGTGTGCCCATTCACTTAATGTGCTCCTTAAAAGGTCCACATATGAGGTTCCAAATAAATACATTGTGCCGAGATTGAGAAAAGATTTGGAATGAGGGTACACATGCATTCCTACCACATACACTACGTATGGGGTTATTCTGAATGCAAAGGTGCATAATAACTACCACAAGACAATGGATGAAATTATAGAAATTGCTTCCAACGATGATACTAAGCAAAAAGTCATTCAACTTGGGTTGATAAAAATCAAGGATAGAGTGAGACAAGTTGAGGCGGGTTGTGCGAGTAATGTGCCACCTTCTGCTAGTGGTGTCCCACCTTCTACTAGTACTGTCCAACCTTCTAATACTTCCCCCAAAACTTAGGCCGGTCGCAGTTCTACAAATGCAAGCATGACTCGCAAGGTGCTTAGTCCTATGGTTGCTCGCCGAAGAGGCCGTCCACGTACCAAACGGAAGGTTAGCAAAGTGGATGAAATGGTAAATCGGTTGAAGGGAAAGAATAAAAAGGCATCAAAAGTACAGGTAAATTTTTTTATTTTGTTTGATATGTACATCTCAGAATTTTGTTTACTTCAATCACTCACCAATGTGTGTTCTTATAGGGTCATAATTTGAATTTTGCTTCTATGGATGGAATGCAAGTGAGGCCGTGTATTGATGGCACACAAGAGAGTATGTATGTACCGGTATGTTTTAAAGATATGACATGAAATTTTTTTGTTTATTTTCATTTGCAGATATGTTTATCACAAAATTTGTTCATATTATTTACTTTGTCATTGACGAGGCACGAGGTAGCCCAATGCAAATGGTGGATAATATTGGAAGTGGATCTCTTAGTCATTCAGGAATAGTGACCAATATAAGCAGTCAAAGTGGAGCAATTCCTTCAAAATTTGTTGAGTTGAATATAGATGTGGATCCAAATGCCCCTTTTTATTTCTAGTTTTTTAGTAGCAATTTTAAGACTTTGTTTTGTAAACTTTTGATACTTTGGTTTGTTTAGGATCCAATCAAGTCTCATCACTTGTAATGTAATGGTTTAAAGTGATTTTGGATCCAATCAAGTCTCATTGCTTGTTTTGTCAAGTTCTGTTACAAGTCTGAGCATAGCTTCCTGTAGGTTGTATTTTTTTGATTCTGTTGATGCTCACAAGCAGTGCTGGTTGCTGCTCTTCTACTCTGCTGAGCATCTGTTGCACTGCTATACTTTGATACTGATCTGCTATACTACCTGCTATTCTGTTGTGCTGCTATAGGCTTTGCGGCTGTGTTGCTGTGCTGCTGTGTTATGTGCTGCTGTGTTGTGCTGCTGAGCTGTTGTTGTGCTGCTGTGTTGTTTAGCTTCCCTATTTTTGTTATAGATATGGATGTTGAATAGGTGTTGGTTGGATGTTTGAACAGATATAGATTCTGGATATTCAACAGTTTAATCTATTTTTGTTATAGATATAGATGTTGAATAGGTGTTGGTTGGATGTTTGAACAGATATAAATTCTGGATGTTGAACAGTTTTATCTATTTTTGTTATAGATATGGATGTTGAACAAGTGTTGAACAGATATCTATTGCCTTGAACAGATATAATCTATTTTTGTTATAGATATGGATGTTGAACAGGTGTTGAATAGATGTTTGAATAGATGTTCAACAATAGTTTAAGCTATTTTTGTGTTTCATCTGTGTTGTAAGCCTTTTAGTTTGGGCACAAGTATTTCTTGATAAATCAACTGCAAAACCCATGTTCATTTCTTCATAACCTTTTTTGTTCACATCAGAACTCACAACAAAAACAGTAAATCATAGATGGTTGAAGAACCCAGCAACAAAACTCCATTGTTGAACACAAAACCCGCACAATAACATTTACACCCAAACAAAAACTCCACTGTTGTTTTGCCATAAATGGTTCAAGAACACAAAACCAGCATAATAACATATACACCCAAACCAAGAACTCTCCAAAGCTCTCAAAACCAAATGTATAAGTTTACAACATTCATTTTAACATTAAACAAATTAACAACATTAGCATGTTAAAATTAGTACACACTATGCTTGCCATTGTAAGGAATTTCATAGTTCCTACATTTGCCTCAAGCCGCTCCAATCTTCGCTCCAATTTGTCCAAAGCTTCATAGTTTCTTTCAGAATCATTCCTCCCCTCATCTTCATTGTTCCTATGATTAGGATTAGGCCTCCATTGGATATTTGATGCATTGCCATGTTGGCTAGTAGGCGCCCACCATGCAAAGTAATCGCACTTGCCATTTGCACACTTGAAGTAAAGCCTTTCTGGATTTTTCAATGCGTTTGATATGTTAACGGCCGCTTTTTTGTCACATTTGCAACCTCGATTTTTGAAAAGGCGACCATCATTGCTTGAACTAGTCGAGGTGTAAGCCATTGACATGTTACTCATAATAGTAGCATTTTCATAAATAATTAGTACAGTAGTCAGTAAAAACAAAAACAAAAACAACAGTAATAATGTGAAATGGCCCATGGAAGCACAAAGCATTTCATTGAAGCATTTTATCATACACTTTCAATTCTCACACATGCCTTCAATTCATCATTTCAATAGGTTGATTTTTCTTCCAAAATCACAACACATTTTAGCATGTTTAAATTACTAACAAGTCTATTTTCATAACATTTTTTTGAAGACCTAGGTTCATTTCATGTACCAAGAACTCCACTGTTGACAAGTCCAAAACAACATACCAATAATGTTAAGCTTGGAAGAAGGTTTCAACAATCCATGGAAAATTCACAATGAAACAAAACAGAGCAAGAAAAATAATGGGCATGGAAAATTCATAATGAAACAAAGCAAGAAAAACAAAAAATAATGGAAAATTCACAACGAAACAAGAAGAAAATGGATAACACTTTCATTTTCTACAAGAAGAAAATAAGTAAGCTGGGAATTGAACAAGTCTATTTTATAACATTTTCCATTTCATGTACCAAGAACTTCACTATTGACAAGTCCAGAACAAGAAACCAAT